CTGTCCGCAAAATATCCCTCCTGGAGTCCGTCTTTCAGAAAACCCAGTCGGTTGGTCAGAGAAGTAACGAGGTCCGCCAGTTTGTTAATGGTCTTCCTGTTCACGTTCACGTCCACTAAGGTCTGGTTAAGAACGGTCACAGTACTGTCAATCACGTCTAGCATGCCGCCTTGTGTCTCGCTCACGTCATTGATACGAGCTATGATGTCCTGAAGCTGAGTCAAGGACATATATAGAAGGTACAGTCACTCCCCCGCCGATCAATCAGAGACAGATCCTGAGTGACGGCATCCCTGATGCTCGCAAGGGGTACTCCATTCCTTAACCCGCGCCCTGCTGGGGGGGTGTTTGAACACCCCCTTGTGGTTTTTCGCGAATATCTCAAAAATGGCGGCGCAGAGCGCCGCCGTTTTTGGTACACCTTATCATACATCAATTCTACACATGTTGTGAAAATTTCAGACCAAGGTCATTCAAGGTCAGGTCACCAGGTCACTTGAAGTGACCTCACCTCATAAAAAGTTTCAATGTCTGTCATAGCTACACCGAGTGACCGATCACTTTGAAACTTTCAGCGATTGCTAAGAGCAATAGCATGTACAAAATGTATATCTCAGAATTTTGATATCGATGACCTAAGGTCAGGTCAATTTTGCGACCTCCCCATTATAAGTCAATGGGAGAAAATTGAAATGCGTCTCTTTTGGACGAACGACATTATAAACACTCCCAAACATCGAATTACAAGTGGTTTAGACACACTGAACATGAAAATGGTGTCCGTGACCCTTGTTTATGCCCTGAGGTCATCTTAGGTCACGAATGGTATCTAACAGTTTTTCGCAAATAACTTTTGATAGAGGCATGCTAGAGCGATGAAAACGCCTTAGATGTGTTCAGCTCGACGATACGGATCGACTGATATGCAACATGACCCTTTCCGGTCAGGTCATGACCTTGACCTGAGGTCAAATTTTCAAATTGACCTTTCAAGGTCAAGTTATAGTTCATTTGATGCGTCTTGAAGAGAGGAACAGGATGCCGGTAAAAGTAAGCTCGTACAGGGCTTGGGTCAAAAGTTATTGCAGAAAAACTTTTTCCGAAAAAATCGGCTATTTTTGCAGTTTTTGCCCCCTGCAGGCAAAACCGTTGACGTTAGGTCAAATCTGAGAGAATTACTCAGAAAGGGCGTTAATAGGGCTATCGAATGCGCTTTTCCGCGGCGCTGTAGCTCTATTGGTTCCCGAGTCATGCGTTGGCTTCTTGGAAATTTTCGACATTCGACCTGGAAATCGGCGAAATTTTGCCTTCAATGACCTCTGGTGACCTGACCTTTGACCTGACCAAAAAAAATGACCGAAGTGATTTCGTCATTATTTTTGACGCTCTTTCGAACGCCGCCTTCGGCGTATCGCTACGTGGCCCAGGAGCCGAGTTACAAGGGGGGTGTTCAAACACCCCCCCCCCCCCCCCAGCAGGGCGTGGAAATCCAGGACCCCCAGCCGGGCGCGGGTTAACAACGTAAAAATGACAAACTTCATTTGAAGATTATTGATGGTACTTTTCACATATTGCTCAACCGTTGATGTCACTCGAAAGCCCAACTAATTTTCTAGCGACAAAAAAGAGCAGCAATATGCTAAGAAATGGCTGGTTTTGAAGATATAGGCGATTTAAAAACCCTCTGCAGTAGCAGAAAAGCAACGTAAAAACGCATCGAGCTTATATTTTTACTATAAATAAATCATTTTTAACTATGTTTTTAGATAACGTATTGATACGATTAACAAGTTTATTAAAATATTTTTTGTAGGCAAGAAGTTTAGAAGCGATTGTGGCGCACCACGCCATTATTGTCTTGAGGCCCCCTTATGATGTCATCAAAGGTGGAGTGACATGGGCCTGAGCTGAGTTTCAGTGGCGGTTCCAAACAGAGAAGACAGGGCATCTCCTACAAAAGGAAGAAAGGAACATTTCCTACGGGATAGAGTGGGTCGTTCAAGATGTTGCAAAACGTCAAGTGTGACATTCAATTCATGATCAAGCAGTTCAGCGTCAAGCGTGAATTTTCCCCAGATACGGTCGGCTAGATCCTCACGCATATTATGATGATAGTTAAAGTACAGCCCACCGCTAAAGTAATGTAGGGTTTTACCAATCTCGACGGTTGGCTTTGACTGGCGATTGTTTAATGCGGAGTGATCGAAAAGAAGATGTCAATAGCTAAAGTTGCAGCTGCAAGGGTGACGATACATATACGTTGTGGTGAACGAGCTTTTAAACTTACGAATGCGGTACTCAAGTTTCGATGCTAGTTTCCACGTCGTTCGGGTCTCAATGGGCAGGTTGATTCGCCAGAAGTCGTAGGTGGCGTACAGAGAGGCGCGTGGGAAGAAGAGAACGTTGGTCGAAGCAGTGTCCAGCAAGAGAGGCAGTAGGATAAACAGTCTCGCTTCCATGTCTGTAAGCACACAAACGAAAGTCACTGACGGATAACGACATAATTAATACACAAGCACATTGGTAACAAAATGACGCACGGGTCAAATATAACATAAACTAAATGGTCCTCTGTCCATTAAAAGCATGACACAATATGTCTTTCCAAACACATAAACACTTCTCAGTTCCTTGTCCTATCCATGAGGCGCTCCCGCCATAACACAATGCATAGGCTCACTATGCCATCGTTCATAACACATGATCCACATCACAATGGCACGCTGGCCGAATCCAAAGTTTGAGGCGCACTAGCCTGATCCACAGCAATTCATAATACAATGGCACTACGGTCAGATGCCAAACTTAGGCGCACTAGCCTGATCCACAACAATTCATAATCCAATGGCACTACGGCAAGATTCCAAAACTTAGGCGCACTAGCCTGTAAACTACAAATATAATCTATAACATATCCTATGACTTTAACAGTTGAGCCAGCATTCTCTCCATTGTGGCTCCATAATTCTCAATCACCTGCATTGCAACGGCTTTTGTACTGGACTCATTCACACCGGGGTTAGTTGCATTCACACTCACACAACATTCACCAGCGTCAGATCCTTCCAGGTCCGAGGTTTCAGATTCCGAGCTGCTTACATCATATTTGCCAGATTTTTCGGGCGGTGACCGAGTTTCATCCTCTGAATTTTGGGTGTCAGACAGAATACGTGGTCTTTTAACCGATTCCCTCGGAGTCGCAGTAGGTGTTTCCGTGGCACCTTCGGATAATTGTTTCGCTAATTTTGCCAAAGGTATATTGTCCTCAGGGTCCAAATCAGAGTATTGACGTTTCCAGCGTCTTTGAAGTTCAGCAAGAGGTACGTTGTCCGAAGAATCCTCCGAATTATTGTCAGAAATGTCAGGGGGTTCCGAAAGAATTTGCGGCGCCATAGAGTCATTTGAACTGTCACCTACATCAGCAGTCGCCTGGTCCTGTGGGTCACGTCGGTCCAAAGTGTGCGGCGTACGTACTGGTGCGTCGTAAAAGTCCGACAGCTCATGATCCTCATATCCTTAACTACACTGTTAAGCGCTGCTGTGACAATCGACGCCTCGGTCATTTTTCAATAAGACAATGAAACAAAGAAACAAACAAGCAGACACAACACATCAAAAATAACAAATACTACGTTATGAAAGCGAGAGTGTTTTGAAAGAAAGAAAAGGATTGATTGGCTCACTGTTCGCCGTCTTGTAGTCCGTAGAGATGTCTAGATGAGATGGCCAGAAGTCTGCCAGAGATGAAAAGTCGATGACGCACGAAACTTTTAAAAGTCTTTTCCCGACGTTATCCGGGTCACGGCACCAAATATCTTGTAATAAAGTTCGTGATAATTAACATACAGCGTTTCACTTTTCACGTTATATTTGAATGTCCGAGATAATGAGTTCGATCGAGATGACGAGCCGAAAAGAACAAGTGAAGATAAGCGACCGGCGAGGGAGCAGCCCTCACACGGTCCGAGTCCGTTGCTGTCCTAGAATTCTCTCCACGCGACTGCCGGGCTCCGGCCCGCTCCGGCGCGACATATACCACGCGTCATATATACGTCACACATGTACGTCATATCATAACACCAATCAGAAGCGGGTCAGGACAGGCGTCACAGGTAAGGAACGAGGACCATAAAAGGACATTGTTAGTAAGGCAGGGGGCTGGGGATGAGCCTTGTTACATCTCCCAACAAAACCACTATTCATTAAAGGTCCTTTTTCCCTGTTAGGTACTACCAGAGACTGGAACAAACTTCCCGAATCCCTGTGTACGATCACATCGCCTGTATCTTTCAAGCGTGAAGTGCTCCGGTGGCTCGGTGCTCCGACTCCACCGGTGTATTATTCGCTGGGCACTAAGACAGGAAACATTATGCACACGAAACTCAGGGTTGGTATGTCAGAGCTTAACGCCCACCTATTCTCTATTCAGAAATCTACGACACCTTTCTGCAGCTGCGGTGATGTTCCAGAAACAACGATCATTTTATTCTACACTGTAGTCTATATCAACTCTACAGAGCCAATTTATTTGAATCGATATCCACTATGCTCCACTATGATTTCTCTCAAATACCACAACACATGCAAACACGCATTCTTCTACACGGCACAAACCTTAGCACCGGCGAGAGGAGTGGGGTCACTCGCTTGTTCCAACGATTCCTGTTCGAATCGAAACGTTTCAACGTGCGTTAACTGTCTGACTGTGGCGCGGCGGGCGTGGTCGGCGCGGCCAGGCTGTGCGTTTCAATCGGCTCGTTGGGGAGGTGAGACTGGACCTGTGTCGGCGGTTGGAGACATGGATGTGTCTTTTTATATTATTTTGCGGGAGGTGCTTTGATTTTTGCGTTAGCATTTGCACCAATCGCTCATAAATATTGTTTATTTTGAATTGTATTGGTTTTCAATATATTTTTGATTGATTGATTGATTGATTGAGAGAGAGAGAGAGAGAGGGGGGGGGGAGTCAGCACAGGACAAGTGGTGCCGTGTCGACTGACCTGTGTTGGTGCCGCCAGTGAAGACCCACGCGCCGGTAGTACGCGCCGCCTTCAACAGACCCCTTCGCAGCGCCTTCTTCAGCTTGGGCTGCAGTTCAAAGTTGGCCTTTCCGCCGTGAACGGTGATGAGCAGCTTGGGCAGCTCTAGTCGCCAGGCGGAGACGAGCAGCTGCAGCAGCTGTTCGGGCCGCGTGTCGTACGCCACGCGCGCGTACTGCGCCTTGCTGGGGTGAGCTCCGTCCTGTCGTGACGAGGCGCCAACGTCACCAACCGAGCCAGCCTACCGCCCAATTCAACGGCGCCAACATCACCAACCGAGCCAGCCCACCGCCCAATTCAACGGCGCCAACATCACCAACCGAGCCAGCCCACCGCCCAATGCTGGGGGAGGGGGGCGTTTTCACGCCCCCTTCTAACTCTGTTCCTGGGTCACTTGGCGACACGCGGTAGGCCGCCATCGAAAGAGCGCCATAAATAATAACGGAAACACTTCGGTCATTTTTTAGATCAGAGGCCAGTTTTACCAACAGAAAAATAGCCGCCCGGCGCAATTTTTCCATCTAAAAACCGCCGACGAGTTTCACCAACCAGGCGAAAAAATATCCGCCAGCGTGAAAAAATATCAGCCAGAAAAATAGCCAACGAGTTTCACCAACGGCAAATGCAGTATTAATTGAGTGTTTATCTGCGCCATTATATATATCTTATCTGCGCCATCACAGGTCATAGGTCACTTGGGTCAGGGTCATGAAATTTTCAGGGTAGGTGTAAAATTGATCAACTCGAGGGTTCTGAAAGTTTCGTCGCGATCGGCCGCTTTTGCGCGAGTTATTCGCGAAGCCATGGGGGAGGTCCATCCGACCCCCCCCCCCCCCACACACACACACATGCGAGGGTTAACCCAGTGGAACTGCTGTGGCTGGTTGCGGCATTTGCGATAGCACCGCTCCATGTTAGATAGAAGATAGATATTACATAAAACGCTTTATCAACATCAATGATAGCTCATATTGATGCTTCCTTGTGTTATTTTGCAAGGTTAGGCTCTTTCGATCTTGCAAGACCTTTGCAGAGTCGGGAGCATGATATAAGAATTAGGGAGAGACAGACCTGGGGACACCAGGCAGTGGGCGGCCAACCTGCATGCAGGTTCCTGCATGGGGCTGCTGCATAGGGCTGCTGGGCGGCTGAGCCCGCCACGATAAACAGATCACCTGAGTCACCCAGACCCACTGATGCTTTCTCACCGCACCTGAGCATGCTTCTGGGGAGCTACACGCTTCGGATAGAGGTGACTGTCCAGGGGACTAGCCCGGATCAGGTTTTTAGAGTCGTTGAAGAATGAGGTGAAGGATTTGACTGCCCTGGAGATGAAAAAAAAGAGGGACATGTAATAGTTATTTTCGACGCTCATTGGCTCATTGGTCAGTGACTTTTTTTGGGGAAGGGGCAAGTGGCCTAGCCAAGGGTGGCACAGGGAGCACCTGCCCCCTACCATACTCACTGGGCTTAGGAGCCCCTGACGGGCCCTTTGGCCCGTCGAAGTTTTAAGTGCCGAGTCTTCTCCCGGGGCCGGGGTCTCCAATTACCCACTCCGGGTCCTGAGAGATCCGTCAGGCTCTTGAAGCCGCACACAGGCACCCAACTCCTGAGGACACCGGATGCGCCCCAAGGGCCCCGCACAGGCTTTTTTGAGGCTCAAAAGCGGTCCCCGAGAGCCCTAACTGGTGTATGAGAAATAGCTCCCCGATATCATTCAGAACCATTCAGAACCCAAGTCAATCATCAGACGCATGTATCTAAAGACCCACATATCTTTAAGGGTCTCTTCAGCCGTCTTTAAGCGCCACACCCATGTCAAGGGGCCCTACGTCGGGCTATACGGGCCCCACGTGAACCTTTGAGGGCAAATATTGCGCAGGTCTCCGAAGGTCCGCGCAGATCTTTTAGGGCCCGCGCAAATCTCTGAGCGGTTTTGCTGGCCTCTGACAGAAAAGACGAGTTTTTGAGGCCCTAAACGATCTCCTGCGGAGTGTCGGCAGTCGGCACCGTGTGGTACCACGTGCACCTCTGTGGGTCACCCCTTAACCTGACTTCCAATGGCCCCTCATAGGCCCAGAGACGCTTAGGGCCCAGAGAGGCTTCAGGTGCCGAAAGAAAAAGTCCCTGTTAGGTGGCCTACATTTTTTTAAGTTTTCAAAAAAAAATCATCGTGCCAGGACTGTGACGAAAAATAAATGGCCTAAGTCCGATGAGAATTTCAGATTTTCAGATTTCAGATGTATATTTTCGAATCATCCCACAAACGTGGCTTCATGTTTGATTCTTGTCAATGACAAAGTACACAGATGAGGTTACGTCGGTGAGATAATAAAAATACAAATTGGCATGACAGCTAAAATATAGACATTAAAATATGCGAAAGCATGTGACGCTGATAAAATACGCTATATGAATATGTCCCTAAAAACAAAATGCGGGGAAGACGCCCTAAGGTGCATGCTTGTTCAGCGCAGAGATAAAAGCGGTTCTGCGGCTGCAGCCGGAGATGGATGACGGCAGGCTATTCCAAGCGGAGGCGGCCCTGTACGCTACTGCGTGCCACGAACAGAGACCGGATCGCCACCGGAGCGCGGGGGTCGTGCAGGGCTCTAAAAACGCCCATACGATCGCGACGGGTAATCAGGCTTGACACGCTGCGCCAACCAAGTGCCTCGAGAATCGGCGATGCACTATCACTGCGGCGCGCGCCTCTCACGATCCTGGCGGCGAAATTGAGCACCCTCTGGACTCGGGTCAGGCGGCACGCAGCGGCCCCTCCCCAGACGGACAGACAGTAAAGTATGTGGGGGAATACGTGGGCCTGGATAAGGAGTTTGCGGGTATCGGGAGTCAGATGATGCCTAATTTTGTAAATGCAAAAAAGGATGGAATTGCACTTTTTGACAACGTGGGATACGTGCTCTTCCCAGGATAGGGTATTGTCGATGGTAACTCCAAGCATTTTAACAAAGGGGGATGGTTTAAGGACGAAATCATTGATGTTTAATTGAAAGGATGCTGCTTTCTTAATGGATTGTGAGGTGCCTACGAGAAGGAGTGTAGTCTTAGTAGGATTCATTTTCAAGGAATTAGCTGTGAAGTAGGATTGAAGGGTAAGGATGGTTTGTTCCTGTCTGGATTTCAGAAGGGGTAAATCATCAAGGTGAGCTGAATCCAGAAGCTGGGTGTCATCAGCGTAGCACACTACATGGCCGTGTGGGATATGGGACGGAAGGTCATTTGTAAAAATGCTGAAAAGGATAGGGCCGATTAGGGATCCCTGCGGGACGCCAAAGGTTATGGGAAGAAAAAGGGAACCACCCTTTACCATCTGCTGCCGCCCGTCGAGGTAGCTCGCAAATCACGTCGGATCGACACCGTGCCACTGAAGCTTGGTCACGAGAACATCGTGATCAACAGTGTCAAAAGCCTTACTTAGGTCTATCGAGGTGACAGCGACAATATGACCAGTGTCAACACGACGGGTCATCCACTCTATAACATCAGTCACGGCGTCTTCCGTCGAATGACATGATCGGTATGCATATTGAGACGCAGAGAACAAACCATGGTGAGTAAAATAATCTGAAAGCTGTTTACAAACCACTTTTTCACATAGTTTCGAAAGTGCAAGTAAAATTGCGATGGGTCTAAAATTACATGGCGAGTCGCGCGAGCCTGACTTGAGAAAACATGATTTGGGGGTACCTTAGGTTTGGCCCCTTCCCTGGTGTGCCCCCCCGCCCGCGCTCAAGCCCTGGATTCCATATCGACCCGATCGAGCCCCAGACCCCTCAAAGGCACGTCGCGCATCCTTGATCTATGAGTTGTGCAAATTTCACCGGGCTAGGTGCAACGGTCTGGCCTGTAGGGGGCATTCCACGTCAAATCGAACAAAAATCGGCTGTTTTGCACCTTACCATCAGCGATTTCATTATAAATTCGTGAGCGAGTTCCTGTGTCGCCCCGAACATTACATTGATGTTGCATCTTTATATTTTTGAACGACCATAACTTTGGTTGTACTTGTTTGATTTGAATGAAATAAACCTTACTGTTTTGGTGATTTCTTAAGAATTTGTTTAGAATTGCACCTACCTAAATATATGACCTTGAAATTTGCTTAACTCTGTTCTTAAGCACAAAAATTGAAATAGCAAAAAACACGTCACCTTTGATTTGGCTAATTTTCATATATTTTATTGCCTACCATATTCTTAACAACCTGTGAAAAAATTAGATTGGGCCATTCATAAGTTTTGAGGAAAATGGCACATATGCAAACGTATGTTAGCACGTGCAGTGGAGGGGGAAGAGTGAATTTCGCCCCACCCCTCCTGTTTTTCGCCAATATCTGATAGTATTAATGCGAAATTAGTTATAGCTACCTGTCCAAAATTGAATTGCACATCTCATCGTGCAAGCAAGAAGAAAATCGGTTCACAACTGTTCTAGTAATAGCGGTGTAAAGTGAACAAACATCCTGTCGCCGCGGCGACTCGGCAGCCGGCGCCGACCGCTAGCCGCCGCCTGAATTGTAGACTGTGCCGGGACGGAACGGAACGGTTCCGTCTTTACATCGCGCTCCCAGAGGCGGATCCAGCTCAGAGGTTTGGGGGGGGGGGCAAACCATAACAATTTATCGATTCTTTCCATGCATCGTCCATAGGCGTAATGTTAAAATTATGCCGTTTGGGGGGGGGGGGGCAAATGCCCATTTTGCCCCCCCTGGATCCGCCACTGCGCGCTCCTTACCGCTGATTACGTTCGATTCGCGTCAAATTTTGTGAGCAGACTTAGAAATGTACAGGCAATCTTATGGTGTAAGAATTTTGAAAATCGGTTGGTAAACAATTGAAATATGAACGTGTAAACACAAAATTGGGATTGCTGCGTTTCCCGCGTCGGCCGATCCCGCCTCAGCTGGCGACATGTTACTCTTAGCAGGTCTCTAACTGCCATATTTATTATTGGATTAACTAGAAATTCCCCATACATACTCAAAAATGTATATTCTTTCGTATAGTGAAGATAAAAAGACGTGAAGATATCGTTGCGCGATAATGTTTTCGTTGAATTTTTGGCTTCATGATGCATTTCCACACGGCTCAAAATTCACCGCAAAATACCGTTTGCCTGAGACACTTTTACTATGGAACTTGAATGCTTGACTACGATGACTATGTATTTCCATTCTCG